TCTGTAGTAAACAAGTCTCAATTTAAAACATGAGATGATGATGGCTTTGGAAAATGAGGTAGCTCAAGCCCTTCCAAGCCCTCGTAAGCCTCGTTCTGTCCTGGATCTGCAACCCAGCAACAGAAACTGGTGCCGTGCCTGGCAGCTGGCCTTTGGCCTTACCACAGGAAAAATGTAACAGATTCTCTGCTGATGTTCAGAGTCATCCAATGTGATGATCAGGACCCCAGCAAAGCTTCCAAAGTAGCTTAAGAGCTGGTTCTCCTCTTCAAACAAACACAAAGCCCAGACAAATGCTTCCGTAGTCAGCAAGCACTACCAGGGGCTGTCTACATGGGAAACACTCTGCAGGCTGCAGGGCCGGCATCAGACATGGGTAGCTAACAGCACCACTGGGGAGCTCAGGGACCCTGGGGAGCTCAGGGACCCTTCTCCAGGCACCACCAAACTCCTGCCAAGTGGCATGAGTTGGCCGAACTTCTGTAGCTTCATGCTGGCAACTTGCTTCAACAGGCTGGGGCCATGCCCAGTGGGACAGGGACACAGGAGTCCTCTGGCTTCTGGTGGGATGGCAGACTATCATCCACTGCTGTAGCCAGAGTTCATTTGCTGTGCTTATTAACAATTATTTAGGGGAGAGCACCCTTTTGGAAATAGGCCTGACCGTCGAACTTGAAAAACTGTCAAAAAGCAAGAACAAGAATCCAGCACTTTCCAGCCCCCCAGGCTCTGTTTGCTTGCCAAGCTGAGACCTGGTGTAAGGGAAATTAATCCTCCTTTTACCTTAGATACCATGATTTCCCCAGGCTGCTGGTTATATATTTGCTGATCATTTTTACAAAGCTGTTGTAATAGCTCTTACTTCCCAGCATAACTTTTAATTATGACTGTCTGAAACACTTAAGTTTATGTTTTTATCAATGGGGACTGCAGCTTAATGGAGAGACTGTCCTATGGAGCACATATTCATAGTAACTACATCAGTTAGTCACATGGAAAAATCATGCCAAAAAGCCCACAATACCGAAAATAAAACATTGTCGGTGTTTTGACATGATTTAATAGTTTCAAATAAGAAACAGCACTTCTGACCAGCGAGCTCTCCAATGACCACTAGCAAGAGCACTGCTGACGGCAATCTTGAGAATTGAGATAGAAAGGGTTCCCCTGTCACCACCACTGTAACTCTTATCTCTCCGGGGATCATTATACTTGGGAATGTCAGTCAGCACCTACTCTGGCACTGGCTTGTGTTTCTGTAATACTTTCTCTCCTCTGGAAAACATATTTCCATCTGTAGCGTTATTCTTCTCTTTGTCTTAAGAAACACTTGAAACTGCTGCTATCTCTAATTCTTGATTTATCCTCTCGTTTACTAGCACTCTGGCAGACCTCTTAGTTGCTGTACAGCATCTTATTTTTGGAAAATTTTACATTTTATCTCCTGTTTGGGGTCATATTATTTTCCTGAATTGGCAGATTTCTTTTTAAACTTGGTATTTTTTTTTCCCCCTGATGCTCTGGTATAATTAGCACTAAATCAGACACTGAAGGCACTACAGCAGAAGGCTGAGACAGGGTTTCCTGATAGTAAAAATATATGAGAGACTGAGATAAAGATACTTCCGCTCCCAATACTCCCTCCTGGAAACTACAAATCCAGCAGATGAGAGGCCATCTGTGTGGATACCTTGTGATGCATTTTAACACTAAAACAGTAATGGAGCTGCACTTCTAGAGGACTTCCCTTGCCAGCAGCCATCCCTGGAAATCCCCTGTAGGAGTGAAAGGATAGATAAGGACAGTGCCATGGAAACAGCTGATCCTTACCTTACCTTTCCTGAATTAACTAAAAATTGTAGACTAACTTGCAAAAGTCATCCTAAGAATTCCTCCCAAATCTAAGTATTTTGTGCTTCATTTTAGAGTAATAATTAAGAATTAGGAGAAAATACAGTAAGAAAATAAGAGGTCTTAGTGCTTTTACTCTTAAAAAAAGGTTTTAACATCTCTTTGTGGTGAAATCTTTAATATCAGATCTGGTGTATACTTTGACACACCCTTACCTTTGTGTTTTAGAAATATTAAAAAATTAAATAGGCTATATCTATGAAAAAAAAAATCTGCCCGGGTTCTTCCAGGGAAAAGATTAAAAGTGCTGTAACCCTACAACCTTTTTCCAAAGAAAGTAACTGAGAGACTTTTGAATATCATGCAAGAAATACATCCGTGAAAAGCTGCCGCTCCCAATTCATGAGGGACAGTTCTGAGTTCAGCAGAAATCAGAAACCTCTGCCTCCTTCAGAAGAGGTATTTCACTGGTTTAGCTAATGGAATGCACCTTGCAATCAAGGGACACTATCTTCTGGTTCAAGCTGTTTCTTCCAATGGATTTAAACCCTAATTTGTGAAAGAAAAACATAGCCTGTTTCTCCACCACTGAAAAGCTCCTAACCTTTACTCTAGATGATCACACTGTATTTGTTTTTCCAGAGGAATACTGGGAGAGTCTGTAGGTGGAAGAAGGAAAGACCCTTGTTGTGCTCCAATGCACTTTTTGTTCTATTTAAAAATGACTTACAAGGTTGGCTATTCACCACGTTCTGCCTCGACTCATGATTGAGGATGGTGGTCTGACTACGACTAATTTAATATTATGTTTTGGCAAAGTGGAACACCCTAACTGTGCCCTGCACATACTCTGGGCAATTTGCCTTCCTCCCACTTCTGCGACTGCATTGCCCACATCTATTGGTGACACTTTGAACAGAGCTAAGGAGCATCCACAAACTCTCTGGAGCAAAGGCTCAGAAAAACTGCAGAGAATTTCCAGTGAACACCCAGAGCTGTGACAATAAAGCATTTGGGCATTCTGAGCACATCCGTCTCTCCTAAAGGCCTCTTCCCAGATTTTCCAGCCAGATGCTGAAGGCTTTTAGCCTTCCGTGGGCATTAGCAGAAGCAATAGCCAGCTGGGAATCCAAATGGCTACTAGATGAGCGTGATGACTGCTTCACAACATGCACATTAAGGCCCCGGCTTTCACAAGGATTAGGTAGAAGACTGTGCTGATTGACTTTAACAGCACCACAGGAATTGTTGACTGCATGGGCCTGCACATGCAATCACCTGCAGGACAGGTTTTCTGTAATTGCTGCCACCATGTATTATATAGTTCCTTTACCTGTGCCATCATAGACACAAGTTTGCAGATTGAATCCTATAGACATCCTTATACTGATTAAAAAAGAATGTGTATCAGCCTAGTCTGTGAAGTAAGTCAAGAAAAAAGAGGCCATTGATCAAACGAGGTTAAAAATAACAAATGTGTATCTGTTTGTAGACAGAGTCTTACACAAGGAGGTCAAACCATACCACATGAGGTTCAAAATGAATTAGGAGTGTCCACACATGATTAGCAGCCATTGCATTAAATGAGCTCCGGACACCTCTTTAATTAAGCAGGTGCAACTATGGGAAACAGGTCTTACTGTTTTAGAAAAATGTATTGAGCCAAGACTAAAAGTAGCAAATGTATGAACGCATACATGACAATACATCCTCTTTAGCGTCTTCAAAGGTTATTTTAAAGCATTAAAATGCTAACAGCTTTCACTTTCTTTAAGAAAAAAAAATGAGGAAGTCGAATACACACCTACTACAGCCACAGTGATGAGGTTCCTCAACTAAACACGCAGTTTCAGGCAGAAGGGCAGATTAGATTTTTTTTTTTTTAATTAACAGAATTTAAATCACAATTTACACACATTGTGATTGCTAGTTAAGTTGTTATACTAAGCTAACCTGTCTAAGACAAGAAAACCTATTTAGGCTCCCTAGCTCTTTTGAACTATACAGGCTTCTTGTTGTATAAATGTTAATTGCATGTAAACTGTAATTTTGTAATGAACAGAGAGGTCAGTCCACATAGATGCAATGACAGTGACAGGTCCTTAGTTTACTTGCATCATATCACTGGGTATCATATGTCTTAAATGACTTCTCTTTGGGGAAATATAACAAAAATTAGATTTTGAAAAAGAAAAGTGTAAAATGAAACATAATGAAGCAAAATGCTTATAAATGGATGTAAATGGCTCAATCAGACTATAGAAATGCTTATTTAACAACAGGAAAGATTAATGAGATTTGTTACTATTTCCAGTCTAAAAGTACTGCCTTTATATCTGTCATGTGGTGTAAAGCAATCTTTGATTTTTCAGATCGAACAACAGAAGTACTCCAGAAGTTCACATACTCTACTTAAAACAGGATGTGACTTCTGGTGTTTTATAATGGTTTGTTTATAGCAAATGAATGAAGATTTCAGTGACAAATATTAGAATAAATGGAGTATTTTCCTCGACAAAGGGTATAGACACTCATTTCAATGACATGGCACCCATGCTCAGCATGCAATTGTGCTGCATAAAAAGGTGGCGGCACTAAGAAACTGGTATCCTAGTTTAGATGAAAGACTGAGCTCTTTCATCTTCAAAACATATTTATGTTGACAGATGTGTTGCTGTAGGTACTAACATTTCTATAGAATATTAGTGTTGTGTAACCTACTGAATTCTTACTTTTTGTTTGGAGCTCCAAAATCAAACCTGAGAAGAAAGCACACGTGTTAAGTTATTGAAAGAAACCTGCTATTTCTGACAAAGTGTTGTATCTTTTTGTTTGAATTTTTGAACTTCATGATGATTTCATAACAAAATTAAGGTAGAAGTGCTATTTTTCTTGATGGAGCAGAGAAGCCAGTTCACAAATAATGTTGGCCTTGATCCTGTAAACACTGGTGTACAGGCTTAGCTTTTGTACCGTTGATAGTCTCATTGAGTTCAAGGGGATTATTTGCATTACGAGTGTTTTGTGCATCTGCATTTGCTACACTTGAGCCGTTGTTAAACATACACATTTTCAGGGCTGGTAAATGAAAAAAAAAAAAAAAAGTCCACTTGTGTCACCTTGGTAATGCTTTTCCATTTTCATAACAGACAAAAGTGGATGGCACGGCCTGCCTGCCCAACGCTACCTCACCGGCAGAGAAAATAAGACCTTTCACACAATTTATCTCATCAGGACGGTAGTTCCCGACCTGGATCCTCCGCAGGCTCAGGCACAGCCTGCAGCCAGGCCAGGCCGTTCCTTCCGCACCCGGTAACCCAGGCAGAGCGGACAGGCCCAGGCCACAGGGGATGGGACTCCCCCTCTGGACGCTTCCCAGGAGACCGCGTCCGCCCGGGGTAGGTCTCCACGCTCCCCCAGCGCCCTGGGGGGCTCCTACCTCCGCAGGGTGCGAAAAGGGCCGGGGATCCCCGCTACCCCCGGACCCTGCTCGCCCCCACACTCCCTGGCCCGGCCCGGGTTGGGCGCG